TAATGACTTATTGAGCTCCAAACTCTTTGCAAAGGGCTGAGGTAGGTGCTCTAAAAAATATAATATTAATAAGGCCTCTCCTCCCACTTGAGGAATAATGCATTATAGAAGGGAAGACTAGCAGGTACATAAAAACTTCAGAGTATGAATTTATTTTTTTCAGATTTTCATTTTTCCTGTTTTGAGGAATTTGTTCAGTAGTAGGAAATGCCTTCAGCTCTAAGTAGGAAGGATGATTCAGAGGGAAACGTGCTCCCTCTGGCATGGGTCATCAGGGAGGACTACAGTGGAAAAATCAGGATTTCAGGGAGACCTGGAAAAGAAGGTAAAATTACAATAGGGCTAGAGAAGCTCAAAGGGGTATTCTGGGTGCAGAGAACAGTAAAGGGGGAGAAAAGTCCAAAAGTTGAAGGAGGGCTGCATCTGCTTAAATCACATGTTAGAAATCAGCCTGTGAGAGGATGAAACTGGTAGCAATGAAATAAAACCAGAAGGTTGGGAGCCTGTCAGGCAACCTTAAATGCTGAGTGGTCTGGACCTTCTACAATAGCATGGCACCAAGAAAGGTTTTGAGAGCAGGTAACAGAGTCAAGACAGTGCTTATGGATATGCACTTAGCAGTGGCTGGCACAAGAGACTGGAAGGATGTTAGGAGAGAATTTTCATAACCCTTATGAGAAGCTGGCAGAGCCTAAATTATGATGAATGTAAATGGTGGGTAGGAAGGACATTTCTATGAAATCTCTTTGGGCTTCAAACTAAGGAAACATTTTAAACACAGGATACTCCAAGCAATTTAAATACCTAATGTCCAGAAACAGGAATTTAATAATGCATTGTCTTAAATCATTGTTAGAATCATTGACTATCAGAGCTGGAAGGAAACTTGATGATCTAGTCTAACCTAATTTTATAGGTAAGTTATGTGGGTTCTAAGAATTAAGTAATTTGTCAAAAGTTGCAAAGGTAGTGAATGCCTGTGAGAAGATACTATAACTCAGTTTCCTTAACCCTAGGATACCTACCAACCGCCCCCCCCACACCCTTAGTAAAGTGTGTGGTTTTAATTGTTACTTCACCAAAAGCATACTTTGAATCACTCTTTATTCTTTTCTTATACACTGAAGGTCCCATTTCAGTCTCCTTAGCTATTCTTCCACAGTACTTGAAAACATGGTCCTCTCTACTTGCTTTCACCCACTCCTTCGGCTACAATACCTTTATGTAAAAGTATCCAGATCTAAACCTCTCGTCCTGATCTCTCTCCTCATGCTAGAACTACACTGGACATCTCCATCGGAGTTCTGAAATAAAACATATTCTTTCCTCTGCTATTCCTTTTACATTCCCTAGTTGAATTGATGGATCATCCAGTTAACATAGGCTAGAAACTTTGGAATCACCTTTAATTCTAGCCTCTCTTAGCACTACCTTAAATGCCTCTTGAAGATACTATTTCCTTTCCATTTTACTGGCTCAGTCACAGCTGAGGACTACTACTGTACTTATATTCTAATTGGAGTCTCTGCCAATCATCTCTTCCACAACCAATCTGTTTTCACAGTGCCTTTCAATTACCTTCTTTAAATACACATTGGATTCTATCATAGTTCAAGCTCTCTTGACTTCTTACTTGAGTTAAACAGCCTCACAACTGAGGAACTGTAAACGTTTTCTATAAAGGTCCAGATAATAAATATTTTAGGCTTTGAGGACCATACTCAATTCTGCCATGGCAGTGCTATACATAATACATAAAGGATAATCATGGCCGTGTCCAATAAAATTTTACTTATGCATGTATAATTTTTATGTGTCATAAAACATTGTTTTTCTTTTTTCCCCCCAACCCTTTAAAAATATAGAAAACATTGATAGCTCATGGACCATAAAAAAACAGATGATGTGCCAGATTTGGCCTATGGGCTGTAGCTGCCACCTCTGTCCTAACTGGCCTTCTTGTCTCCTACAACAACTCTCCAAGTTCACTCTCCACACGGCTGTCTGAGTCAGGATCCCAACCCAAAAAGTTGATCATGTTGGCAGCCCTGATTAAAGTACATCAAGAGTAACTCCAGAATATGGCCCACAAGACCCTTCCTCTGGTTCCTCTCCCCTTTCCAGGTTTATCTTTTGCCAAACACCTAATGTGACTGTAGAGTTTATATTCCCTCCCATCTTTATGTCTTTGCATATATTGTTCCCTCTACCTGGGGTATTCACCCCACCTTTCTCCACTCTGAGGACTCCTATTCATGAACTCAGAAAGCTTTCCCTATCACCTTCAGTGGCAATGTAGAATGAGCCAGTTCTCCTTTATATGTGCTCCTGTGGCAATCTTCACTTCTCTAATTACACTGTTATCACACTCTACTATAATTGCATATATAGATCTGGCTCCTTAGTAGAGTGTGAACAACCTAAGGGTAGGAACTGAGTTTTTTTTTCTCTCTATGCCAGGGCCATCCAATGTACTTAAAAGATAGTAGGTGCTCAATAAATACTTGTTAAATAAGTGAATGTTATATTTACTAATTGTGTCCTTCAATAAATGAGTTTCTATTTTCCATTTTTAAGTCCAATTAGACAATAAAGGGAAATTCCAAAAAAGTGACAGGTTATTTTTCTTTCAGATTGGCCTATGGATTTCTACCCCAGTTTTAATTGTCTTTGCCCTAGAAGATTTGAATTCTTATTTTATCATTACTTTATATCATCTTTTTCATATTTAATTTTAAACTTTGTTTAGAATATGCCACTCAAAATATTTAAATTAGACTAAATGAAGCACTACCTGTGTGGGATTTATTTATTTCAGCTGGTTTACACTGAAAAAGAAAGACATGAAGTTTCCCAGTCACACACTTGAGTATATGAATCAATAAAGAATGGTGAGGGGAAGCAAACTCTAAAAAACCCCAAACTATATATCAGAAATATTTAGCCCAACAACCAAGTCACATTTTCAGTGCAAAAGAGAGATATACACAGTTCCTTCCATTTTTTATTGTCATCTTTAAATTTATGAATGTGGATTTTATAAAACATCAATATAGACTAAGTGTAAAATGCTTACAAAAGAGTACTACTTTTAGAAAATAGGTAATTAAGTTTTATTTTCTATAAGACTAAGTTAAATTTTGGTAGACTTGTTGTAAATAAAGCTCAATAGAAAAAGCTTTCTATGGAACCAAGCAAAATCGTTTTTCTTAAGAACAAAGGAATTAGTTACCACCAGTCCATTTTCAGCAGTTGCTGCATCTTAATATGCTTTACTTGCAAGAAATGGATCTTGTCAGACAGTACAAATTGATACTGCACAGGAAAGCTCTCTATGGACTTTGACTTCAGAAATTAACTCTCTGAATAAGACAGAATGGCAAAGGGGACAAAACCAGCATTAATATTTATTTATTGAAGCTCAGCCACACTGACATTAAAAGCTGTCCTATTTCTGTGGGTTAGTGGTACTTAGCACACAATGGTTGGTTCTCAATAGAAGTCTGACAGAGAAGAAGAACGATTAACTATCATGATCAAGCTAAATTCCAAAACTTCTAAGATTAAATAACCATAGGAACTATGTTAACATTACATTCTTAGTTCTATAATGACAATATTCTAAATGGGCATTAAAAGAATGGTTACTATTCTGCAATATTAAGCAATTTTTTATCATAAAAGTGTTTCATCTCTTGGGATTTTTCCAGATATCACACATGTATAAATGATTTGTTTTCTTTCTTTCATTTTTTCCTTTCTCTCTTTCTCCTTCTTTCTTCTCTTTATCTTTCATTGTTTAAAAAGGAAGCTGGTAAACCATTTGGAATATTATCATAACAAAATGTTTTTAACCAAGTTTGATTTTAACAGAACTAGAGGCATCTTAACACTAACCCAAAACTTTGGGAGGTTCACCAACCTCTAGAATATTTTTTTTTCTCCAAATGCAGGCTGTTCAAGTGGTGCTTTTCTCCATCTGTTATCATACCGTGCTCAGAATTACATTGTCATATTTAATGTAAAAGGGATCAGTCCCCTTTCATAGTTTAAATTCAACATATTACTATGATTAGAAGACCAGTGTTTTTCTAATTTATGAATAAACCAGATTCTATAAACTTACATGTGTATTTAGACAAAGTTCTCTCTAAAAACTGAAAAACTCTAAGAATTGAACAAACCCAAAGCTTTGATCTGAAAACTGAAAAATTGTACTAAAACTCAAAGGGAAAAGGAACCCATTTATATAGTAATGTGACTTACCTACAATTTCAGTTTAAATTTTTCTCTGTGTATATTTATGTATGTGTGTGTGTGTTTTCAATACAACAAATTGCCCAATGTTTACTACCAAAAATGTCTTACTGTAATTTAGGGCTGAGCTACATGTTTACTAAAGTTTTATGACAATGATGATCACATCACAATATCTCATGATGGAAGCAATGTAATTTGAAATCACGATAGTGTAAGCATGGTTATAGTAATGGTTTAAACATGAACAGTGCTAATCAATTTCATCTCTAAATTTTACACCTCCTTAGGACTCAGGTTGCTTATTTTGTATCAGTTCCATCTTAGTTTGCATCTTAGAATGTCTCTTACTTTGTCTCTTTCACCACTGACAGTATCTGATTATTTTCCTTAATATATTCCTCAGATACTTCAGTTCAACATTTTTATTAGACACAGAATTAACAGGAGAGGTAGTGTAGTGGTAGAAGAAATATGTCATTTTGCTTATATTGATAGAGAATCACCTAAATATTTGAGCATTGTAGATGAAAGGTTTTGTAATATATCAGTAATTCCCTGCCACACTTATCATTCACATGTCTGGGTGTTTTGCTTACCACATCTCCACTTTTCTTAATATGCCTGAAAACTGTGTGTTAATTGAATGACTAAGACTTAACTCTAACAACTGTTTGGAAGCCTGTGGCAAAAATCAGTGGAATGAAATTGGTGCTATGGTGCATAATGGGATTAGGCAGTACCTGGTGAGGTGCAGTTGGTGCTCAGATTTGCCCAGCAGTTCTGTCAGTTTCAGGCACTCCTCTCTGGCCCGGGTTGCCTTCTGCTGCTCCTGTTCCAAGTGCTGCTTGCTTTCACTCAGTTCTAAACTCAATTTCTCTATTTCCTTAGGTAGAGAGAAGAGGGAAAAAGCATCCTATAAAATATATGCACTTGAATTCAAAATTATCTCATTTTTATTTTTGCCATGAATTTTAATGTGATGAAAAATTATTAGAAAATTTAGGCTAGCTTCCATTTTATGACAAAGGGAACTAACACAGCCCAAACTGCACATTAGTGAGGATTTTTCAGATCGTAAGATTCAGCCTAATTTTAAAAATGAAATGATTAAATGAGAATAGTCAAAATGGATAATCTGCACTTTGAATCTAAGGCTCAGTCCCTTTAAAAAATAATACGAACTTAAAAAGTCACTATATTTAAAATACAACATTTCTGTTTGTGAGATTAGATCAGACATGTGCAGTGATTTACATCAAATATGAGACTCTTTTTTTTTAAAAGATACATTTATGGTTTCATTTGGATGTTTTGAAAACCAAATTAGATCGTAAAATACTTTAAGATATCTTTTAGAAAAATGTGAGGTGTAAAAGAAGGCATCATTATGATGCACAATATTATTTGGAAAACAATAATTTAGGAAAAAAATAAAGCATGAGAACCTTCAAGTGTTTTGAATGTATGACATTTCTGAGCTAAAATAATATTGCATTATAATTGCATTTTAAAAAAGCAACAAAAGCACTCTAAGATTAATAAACATCTAAAATTTATGGTAGTTTATTCTTTGGTCTCAGTATGAAATTATCCTTTTTTTACTGAAACTCAAATATTTCAAAGCAAAAATATGTTACATAGAACATAGTTTAAATAATTTATACATTAAAGTACAAATATTTATTTATTATGGAACATCCATAATTTAAAAAAAAAGAAAATAGAAGAGATAAATATTCAGACTCTTAAAACAAGAAAAACAAAAAAGGGGAAAGTAAAGGGTTGAAACGTTTTCAAATTCAGCAGAAAGCAAGAAGCAATTTTAATACACAAAAATGCAATCTACTCTTGGAAAACAAAACCATGTCTAAGTAGAGTTTTAAACTTGGTATTTAAGTACATTCTAATTTCCTCATGTCATTACTCAACATTCTGAACAATCTACAACTATATTTAATATATCAGGCAGGATAAACTAAATAATTTATTTTTCTACATTTATTACACTACAAATATTCAGTTTATCCCCATCAAAACTGTACATTACCAACAATATAATAAAACAACTTACTATAAGTTATTTATTTTAAAAAATCCTAAGTAATAATGAGTATATTGCTTTCATTCAGAGTAGATTTTCTATATCTTTCAGATTAGGATACTAAGTGAAACTGATTTGTTTAAAATATTTTTAACTGTTAAAGTTATATCAATATATTTCCATTCATAACTAAACATAAATAAAGAGATGGAAAAATATAATAGAAAAGTCTCCTAAATTTTGTCTAACATTTATGAAATTAACAAAAAAGCAAAGAAATATAGAATTGGAATTATACATTAATTTTAAAATTTCAAAAATTCATTCATTAATTTTTTTACACAGTGCTATATGCAAGAATCTATACTAAATATTATGGTGGACTCAGAGTTTCCATCTCTACACTCAGGACTTAACAATTCAGTTGAGTAAATGAGACATAAACACACAAAAAGACTATCAAAATACAAAGCATATAAAAAACAACAAATGAGATTTAGAGAAAATCTGTGCTTCAGTAGGCCAGATTAGGGATATACTAGCACGGGCAAGAAAAGTGGGAAAGAAGGTAAGGCCACATAAACTCATGCAATGATAGATTAGACCAATTATGAAACATCTTGAATTCTAGATTTATAAAGCTGTATTTTTCTTATAGAGAATGAGGAAAAAATGGTTTAAACAGGTATGCAATATGAGAGCAGAGCTTCAAAAAACTGGATCAATGTGTATGATCATTAAGATAGTAGAGACTGGCAGTAGGGAGACCACAAAAAGACAGGTGCAATACTCCAAACATGAGAAGCAGAGATACTTAAAACAGAAGTATAAAGAGAACATGATGAGTATATGTAAATATCAATAAAAGGAGAGCTATCAGGAGACAACAAAGAATTTTGAATTGAGAGGATACAAAAAAATGACAGAAATAGAAAATGTATAAAATTCCAAACTTTCTTCAAAAGAAAAGGTACAAGGACTTCCCTGGTGGTGCAGTGGTTAGGAGTCCGCCTGCGAATGTAGTGGACACAGGTTCGAGCCCTGGTCCTGGGGGATCCCACATGCCGCGGAGCAACTAAGCCTGTGCGCCACAACTCCTGAGCCTGCACTCTAGAGCCCACAAGCCACAACTACTGAGCCCACGTGACACAACTACTAAAGCCAGAGCGTCTAGAGCCCATGCTCCGCAACAAGAGAAGCCACTGCAATGAGAAGCCCACACACCACAACAAAGAGTAGCTCCCACTCTCTGCAATTAGAGAAAGCCCGTGCACAGCAACGAAGATCCAATGCAGCCAAAAATAAAATAAATTTAATTAATTAAAATAAAAAAGAAAATGTGCAACAAGTTTTATAAGTATTTTCCAACAACAACAACGTATGTAACCTTACATTGGTAATTAGGTTTTAAGCATAAAGCAGCAGCTTTCTTAATCTCATGTAATAAAAAGTCAGAGGACACACTGAAAGTCAGTCAAACACAGAGATAAAGAACATGGGCCCAAGAGTCAACACAAATCAGGGTTTCAGACACAGCTCTGGCACTTTCCAGCTCTGTGACCTTGGACAAGTGACACAAGTCTTATCAGTTTCTTCAGTCTAAAATGGGAGTGATAACTCTAGCAACCTCCTAAAACTACTGTGAAGATAAAATGAGATGATGAGTACTTAGCAGAGTGCCTAGCATATAGTAAGAGCTGAAAAAAAGACAACTAGTATCATTACTACTGATTTTTCTCTGTCTTTTAAGAAGAGCAAAAATATAAGTAGAAGAAGAAGACCTGCCTAAGGATATATAGTTATCACTGAGGACTAAAGAGTTCTTGATTTAGTTCAATAAAATTTCCAGATAAAGTCCTATTTTGGAGAAAACTGAATAAAACTTTATTATAATTTCAAAATGCAAAAAGCATTTTTGCTAGGAAGATGGAAAATTACTGCCTGCTTCTGATTATCTGTGCCAGAGAAACAGCTTATTGGTGCAGATAATCAAAATCAACAAATAATCTAACCAGCTGGACCAGGGCTCAACACTTACTCCCTGAGTCAGGAAAATCTGCCATGGCACCAACTCCAACAGTTAGAAGAGGAATCTCTTGCCAGAAATGCCATACTCCCACTGGCAGGGTAACCCTTTGCCTCACCCAACTAGGTCAAGGCTGCTTCCTTGGCTGTACGTAGTGGTTCAGGGATTAAAGACCAACAACAGTCGTAAGCCAATTGTACACTACTCTCAAAGTACACTATTAACCTGCAATGTACAATGCAGTTTGATATGGCCATCTTTTGGCTAACCAGGCAAAGACGAGTCCAGATAGCTTTACACTGTACCAAAAGATACACTTCAAGTCATGAATGTAACCACAGGAATAACTAAAAGCAGAAACTGTTAAAAGTGGCTACCTCAGGAGAATAGTACCAAGGATGGGATGTGGAGAAAGGGAGACTCATTACTGTTCACTTATAATCTGCAATGTACCAAATTTTCTTATTAATCATGGTAAACTTTATTATAATGATTTAGATTTTCTTATCAAAGTAATGTGCCTAATTTAAGTCAGATAGTACACCCATCTCCAAGCCTAATCCTCAATGGCACACAGTATCCACCCTTGATATTTATCTTCATACTTTTAAGTAACAGACTTATAATGCTATCCCTTGATTTTGCTACATTAGACATCATCTACTGACTTCCTATATTAAAAAAGGTAGTGATTTAGCTCTCTTATACCACCCACTATACCTACCTCATCCTCCCATATAACAATTTTGGTTAAATCATTAGTCAGTAGTTCATTCACATTATAATGATTATAGAAATATTATTCACTACTGAGACAAGCATTATTCTGCTTAAATTAATTTTCTTGTAAAACATTTTATTATTTATGTAGAATTAATTGCTTGCTTTTTAATAGTTATTTTTCTAGGTAAGTAACATTTTTCCCCAAATGTTCAAACAGGTCACTCAAATACCCATCAATAAAATTTTTTCAAATAATGAAACATATCAGATAAATCATCAGTTCTGTTAAATTATTTTCCTAGATATATCCTTCTTGGTGACTTACGTCTGGCCTGGTTGATCTCTGTCTTGGGTTAAGCCTTACCCATGTTCCTATTAGAGTTTCCTATTTTCTGGGTTTTAAGTCATCCTGTTTTACAGTTTACTCCCTTTTTTGGTTGAAATACATTCTCCAGGTAACTTTCACAAGAAATGTTACATGAATAATACATTTTCAAAAAGTATCTGTATGCCTGAAAATGCTGTTGTTCTATGCATACACTTGATAATTTGGCTAGGTATGAATATCTATGCTGAAATTAATTTTCATTCAGGATTTTTAAGGGATTACTCCACTGTCTTCAAGATTGTAATATTACAATTTAAAAGCCCTATGCCATTCTGATTCCTAATACTTGGTCTATGATTTGCTTTTTTGTTTCTGAAAGCTTTTATAATAATTTTTTCCCTGGAATTTAAAAATTTTACAATGTTAGACTTTGGGATGGGCCTTTTTTCATGCATTGTGCTAGGTTTTCAGTAGGCCCTTTTCAATCTGGAGGTTTGTTTTCTTTAGTTTGAAGAAATTTTCTTGTACTATTATTTTAAAATATTTTGATGCTATATATTTTAATAATTCCTCTTCCTGGAACTCCTGGACATTGGTTTTTGGCTCTGTTGAATTGATCATCTAATTTTCTTATTTATTTTCTGTATTTGTTTTCTGATTCTAACTTCTGAGATAGTCCCTTGACTTCATGTTCCAAAAATTCTATTGAATTTAAGAAAAAAATTTTAGCACAGTTTTCATTTCCATGAGCTATTTCTTTTTTTC